GGTGTTCTCTTTGACTCCGACCTCTCCTTCACCCCTCATGTTCAGTCTATTGCCAAATCCTGCCGCTTCCATCTCAAAAACATTACGCGCTTCCGACCCTACTTAACGCCAGATGCGACTAAGGTGCTGGTCCATTCCACTGTCCTTTCTCGCCTTGACTACTGCAATCTGCTTCTCTGTGATCTTACCCTCCCACCTTATGCCGTTACAGTCCATAATGAATGCGGTGGTGAGGCTCATCTTCCTGTCCGCCCACACCTCCCACACCTCACCCTTCGTTCAGTCCCTTCATTGGCTTCCTGTAAGATAGAAGCCTCATTTTAAAATTCTGGTTCTTGCTTTAAAATCTCTACATAATGCTGGTCCCACCTATCTATCCTTCCTAATACACAAGTATGTCCACTCACCCAGTCTCCACTCCTTCAAAAAAATAATTAAAAACCCACTTCTTCATAAAAAGCGTATCAATTAAACTGTTAATAGCTCCCGACTGATTCCTCTCTTGCAACTGTCATTAGTCTAATACTATCCTTACCTTTTGTGTCACTTTACCCCACTCCCTCTAGCATATAAGCTCATTGAGCAGGCCCTCAACCCCTCTGTTCTTGTGTGTCCAACTTGTTTGGTTACAATTACATGTTTGTTCATCCACCCACTGTAAAGCGCTGCGGAATTTGTTGGCGCTATATAAATAATAACAAAATAATAATAATAATATCATGAAATAAAGAGAAAATAGAAAAGAGAAAATAAGATAGAGTTATCCAGATTAATATTAATCGAGTGGGGGGCGTGTCCTGACCGCGGAGTAAGATGGCCGCTTGAGCTCTGAGCTCCGCAACACGAGCTAGGCAATCTGACCCAATCCGGCACACAGCTGGGACCGATAGCCACACAAGACACACGGAGACACACCGACAAAGGCGACAAAATGATTTTTTTCACCCAAAAAAAGCCGCCAACCTCACAGCAAACTGAACCAGGCCTTCAAGATGGCGCCGGGTACTCCGGCGGAAGCAGCCCCCGCTCAGATGTGGACACACAGTCCGACATGGGGCTCACAGCCTCGATACTACAAGCAGCCCTGGACAAACAATCAACTAAGCTGATCACCACCTGGCAAGAAAGCGTGGCCGAGATCAAGTGAGACCTACATGATCTGGGGTCACGAACAGGGCACATGGAGACAAAGGTGGACAACATTGTGGATGCCCACAACCAAGCTGTCGACAGGATCCAAGCCCTTGAATCACAACTTGCTAAATATGAGGTGAAGCTCATGGACCTAGAAGATAGGTCACGCAGAAGCAATCTGCGACTCCGAGGCATCCCGGAAGAGGTGCTGGAAGCAGACCTACCTGCCTTTGTAAATGGCTTCTTCAAGGCCCTATTACCAGACATCCCGGTCGATATGCTACTGCTGGACCGCCTACACAGGGTCCCGAAGCCCAAGCACATTGCTGCCTCTCTACCAAGAGACACTCTACTTAAAGCTCATTATTTTCATGTGAAGGAGCTGATTCTCCGCAGTAGCCGCACAGCAAAGGACATACCGCCAGAATTCACCAAAGTGCGAGTTTTTACGGACATCTCCGCGGCCACATTACTCCACAGGAAAGCGTTCCAGAAAGTTACCGAGGCCCTCAGAGAACATCGCATACCTTACCGCTGGGGATTCCCTATTCGCCTGCTCGTCACGCACAATGGCGCCACCACAGTGCTCATGACGGTAGAAGAGGGTTTACAACTATTACAAAGATGGAACCTGAGCCCAGCTGAACGTACAGCAGATGCACCGTCCCCCAAATGCCTTGAAAGGGACTGGTCCCAAGCTTGAATTTAGCCCGCAAGTATTTAAGAACGCTACAAACACGCACGTTGAGTGAGGCCTCTGCCCCACACAGTGCATTAAGCTAATGCCATAGGCCTATTATGTTGCTATATTCTGTTACTAAATGTGTGCCACACGTTAGCAGTGCAGTGCGGCAGTTATTATGTTTCCCCATAGCCACCATTGTTGTTGTTGTATCATTGTATACACTATATCACCCGCCTACGGTGTAGCCGCATTGCAGACTCTGTGCCGGCTCAGGCCTTCTACCTAACACCATCTTTGCATTCACCCCCCCCAACACGTACAGCTCGCCTGTACCTTGTACCCACCAAGGTCTGAAATGTATATACTTTCGTTAATTTTGTTCCCCTGGTTTTTATCTCCCCTCCCCACCTTTTACTCCATAACGCCACACTATGCTCCTTTACAGTCCATAAAGATGGCTCACACCGGAAGCCCCCACTGTTGCAGGTGGTAACACAACCCACCCAAAGTCTCATAATCTTAGGCGTCCCGTCCTAGTTTCCCAATTGATACCCAGGGATGGTCACATGTGGATCCAATCTATTGTGCCATTCGGGCAGAATAAGCATCAACCCCATATACCACCCTGAAGATCTACTCCCACATACCCAGGGATGGTCACATGTGGATCCAATCTATTGTGCCATTCGGGCAGAATAAGCATCAACCCCATATACCACCCTGAAGATCTACTCCCACATACCCAGGGATGGTCACATGTGGATCCAATCTATTGTTCCATTCGGGCAGAATAAGCATCAACCCCATATACCACCCTGAAGATCTACTCCCACAATGTGCGTGCCCCACAAACGGCACATGCTTCTGAACAAAGCCAAAAAGCATACCGCAGATATATTATGTCTCCAGGAGACACACTTCCCTAACACCTGTATACCCACATTTGGTGTAAAATACTTCCCCAACCAATACCACTCCACCTTTGCCACTAAGTCAAGGGAAGTATCCATATACATTCACAAGTCAGTGGCCTTTGAGCTACTACAGGAAATATCTGATACACAAGGCAGATACCTCATTTTAATATGTATGTTGAATAATGTGATGTATACTTTGGTTAACGGGTACGCTCCGAATGAGCACCAACGTAACTTTTTGACTAATGTGACCACGATACAGAAAAGATTGACCATAATTTGTGGAGACATCAACCATGTCCTTGATCCCAGACTAGACTCGTCCACGCAGACCCATTCCACACGACAAAGGATGCTTACACCCCACTGCAAAGCCCTGACGAAATTGTTGCAGCAATTCAACTTTTATGACAGCTGGCGCACCTTACACCCCTCTGACAGAAGCTACTCATACTATTTCAAAGCCCACAGGTCCTATTCCAGGATAGATGTGATACTGGTTCAGAGCTCCTCCCTCAACCTGATCCAGGGATGTGACATGGGAGACATAGCCCGGTCACCATATCCCTACATGACGACTTCTGCTTCCATGGCTGCAACCCATGGAGACTCAACACAGGGTTACTATCAGATGAATCCTTCAGACAAGAAACTGAGAGGGAACTCTTACAATATTTTACCACTAACGATATCCCCGAAACACACACCTCCACATGGATAGCACAGAAAGCTGTCATGCGAGGGATCTTCATACGCAGAGCCTCCTACATCATGAAACAGACCCAAACAAAAATCCTCTCCCTCCTCCGCACCCTTCGAGACCTTACCGCCCAACAATTCCTATGCCTGACCACTACTAGAGGGTCTCAAATTGAGCAAACCCAGAAAAAACTTAACGATATCTACATAGCACGAGCGGCACATACCCGACATATGCTAAAAGCAAAACAGTACGTCATGGGTGACAAAGCGAGCGCCTTACTCGCCAATAGATTGCGCACAGCTAACGCTCAGTCAAAAATAGGATACATACTGACTGACGAGGGCAAAAAAGTTATCAAACCCCAAGATATTTGCAATGCCTTCACAAAATTTTATAGCAAACTATATAATCTAAGGGAAGATGCGGCGAAGCACCAGCCCACGCTGAAAGACATTTCCCAATTCCTAGACCAGGTGACTCTCCCCAGACTGACAAACGACCAAATCCACCTATTGACGGACACGGTTACGCCACAAGAAATAGAACAAGTGATCGTGACATTGCCTCCTCACAAATCGCCAGGCCCTGACGGTTTCCCCAATCGGTATTACAAAAAGTTCACCTCCATCCTCTCCCCCCAGATGGCAAAACTATTTGCAACAGCAACTACTGAGAGTAAGCTTCCACAGGAGATGCTGGAGGCTAACGTAGCCACGCTTCCCAAACCAGGCAAGCCTCCCACGAAATTTCGACCCATTTCTCTGCTGAACACTGACATTAAAATAATGGCAAAAGTTTACGCGAATAGGTTGAAGAGTATCCTTCCCGCCTTGATCCACTCCAACCAAGTAGGTTTCATTAGGGGGAGGCAGGGGGTAGACGGGACACGCAAAGCGCACGCCCTTCTACAAGGCATGAACCTATCGTCAACCAATAGCATACTCCTCTCATTAGACGCCAAAAAGGCTTTTGACGACTTGCACTGGTCATTCCTCCAGGCGGTCCTCGAAATTTTTTATTCCCCCCCAGTTACTGGCGGTGGTTAAGGCGCTCTATAATAAACCCATGGCTAGAGTATTCAATGCTGGTTTTAGGTCAACCCCCTTTTGTATAACAAACGGGACCAGGCAGGGGTGCCCCTGTCACCCATACTGTATATCCTGGCACTGGAGCCGCTGGCGGCTCTGATCAGGGATGACAATCGTATACATGGGGTGCACATAGACGGCAGGGAAATGAAATTAAACCTTTTTGCGGATGACATACTCCTCACCATCACAGATCCCAAGACGTCGCTACCAGCATTTCACGACATACTGCATTCCTACAGCAGGTGTTCGTATTATAAGCTTAATCTCACCAAAAA